TACAAAATTGCCAATACAAGCCAGATCAATCACGATAGCAAGAATCGCCCAAGTGCCGATTCAAGTTATTGCAGCAGTGTGTCTGGAGGCCACTCATGGCGAAGAAGAGAGGGTAAAAGAAACCCCGAAACGAAGTCTTCGAGTCTTTCTATAAGGGTTATACCATGTGTTACATTTGGAATAACTAAGCCAGAAACAAAAGGTCCAAAAACTGAATATGTTCCAATAGCATCTGTTACGAAACCAGATATCATAACCCCAGTAAGAATTAGACATATACTGAATCCACCGATGGATTTGCCTTCCAGGGTTCGTCATATCATTCATGAAATTAGAGGTCTAATTACATATACACAAAAAGCAACAAAGCTACACTTTGACAAAATCACCCAAATTGAATCTGACACAGAACGAAAGTAAAAGATTTACCAGCGTAAATCTTGAAAATAAGAAAACTGGAATTCTTCAAGAACGAAACTTGTATGCAATCAATAATAATGACGGAAACGTTCAAAAAGCCTTTAAATAGATGTTACAAAAAATTCTAAAAACATAGAATAGTAAAATGTTCCAAAAATAGCTAAAATTCAAAACGGAATATATGGAAATTAATTATTCGGAGGCCTAAACGAAGGAATTTGGCTAAAATCCCGAGATCTCGGGACTACAACCATCCAAAATTGCCCCTGGTGTAGTCTTTTTTTGTTAATTTTCTGTCCAGCACTTCTTCAAACTCCAAAGCTAGTTGTCTTACATCAGAAGCCAAGAGCTTAATATCATTATCAACCAAGGCAATGGCAAAGGTTAATAGAATCCATGCACATATATCATTAATAAGAGCCGAAGATATGGCAATCCTTCCAATCTCCGTCTTTAGAAGTTTAAGCTTTGCGAGGATTCGTGCAAACACGGGGAATGCAGTGTTGGATATTTTCAACATATATGGGGTCACACGTTGTATATTAAAATGTGTGGTGCTATTATTTAAAAAATATTAGTCAATTAAAGTGATCAGTTAAAGTTGTATTCTGACCAATGAGTGTTAGGTTTCATGGAAATATAGTGTAGAGACCAGAAGTTTGTTTTAGATTGATGAGGAACCAATTTGAAACAACTAAAAGAT